GCTAACAACAGCGCCCCGATACATACTAATCAAATCCTTCTTTCTAGCAATGGGTTGGAGGTATCTCCATGATCTTTCACACACGTTTTTAAAAAGATTAAAACTACTATGAGGTGAAATTGCATGTCAAAAGCGCTTCGTTTAGAACAGATAACCATCAAACACCAAGATTCTACATTTTTTACCGTATTTCTAACCATAAAAACTTCTTCCCAAAATATTTCGATAACACTATTACAGGTTTCGCTTAAACCTCACGAACATTGAGGCGGCTATTGGAGGAAAAAGCTCCAGTAAACGATTTTGGAAGAACAGTTCCCAGTGCCGAGAAATACTCACTCACACTCACTTGGTCGCCCGAAGGCGGGCAACCACTAGATCTTTCCACAGCCTCTTATCAGCCATCAGTGCAGCAGTCTCACTTGCTTCGAATGCCCCAGTATCCCTCTTAAGAGTGTCAATATAGGTAGTATTCGGTCTTCCTCTCCCGCGATGGCCATGTGTGGGCTCCCAAAGGACTAATTTCTGGGTACTTAGCTCAGGATGGCGATAACAGTGTCCCGCAAGTTGTAGCCTACGAGAGGCGATTTTGTTGCTGACTGCTGGTAGATCTCCGTACAGTTGTTGGTTTGGTATGTGGCTGCTCCAGTGGATGTTTAAAGCTTTTCGCAGCATCCTAGTGTATGTTCCATCCAACGACTTTTCTTGTGCTTTTGACAGAGCCCAGCTCTCGCACCCATAAAGTAAGATTGATTCGATGGTGGCTATGAAGAATCTGATTTTCAAATCTTTACTCATATTGGACTTCCATATTTTCGTCATACCATTCAAAGGTCTCCAAGCCTGCGCTTTCCTTATGCTGATGTCTTTTCGAGAAATACTGCTGCAAGTAAAATAGGTAATGGCGTCATTTCGTTGCTATGACAACTCCGATGTCATTGCAGCCCTGATCATATCAAAGTTTCATCTTCATCTATTACAACTGTGGTGTCAATATTTGCATATCTTTGTTCATGGCGGCTGAGTTTACGCTCAAACTTGGGAGGTATTGACCCTGAAAAACTGTATCGAGCCACCTTAACCCGAGGTTGAATTTAATCGCAGGTTTGTTGTGTTGTTCAAACACTGGTTAGCACAAACCTCAAGTAAAACGGCGGGTTAAATTTAACCCTGCCAGCTAGGTAGGTTAAATAACTAATTCCGTTAAAAAATATTAAAAATATATCTAAAACAAAATGGCTGACTTTTTGTTTTCTTACAACCACAGAGAAGATACGGAGGCAGTTCTTTTTGTTTGTTTTCGAAACGGTTTGTGAATTCCATAAACTGCGTAAGAATGAAGTTTCTCCTACTTCCCTCGGACTTCTCTCTCCTCCTAACCTGAGATCAGGCCCAAAGGCTCTGAGTTCAGTGACAGTTCTCTTTGATCGTTTTCGAACCAGTTTGTGATATCGATAAACTGCGTGAGAATGAAGTTTATCCTACTTCCCTCGGACGTCTCTCCTTTCCTAACCTGAGATCGGGCCCAATTTTAGCAATTTCCATACATTCTCTCTTTCGTGACCGTGGTCTCTCTTCGTTTCGCCTTTCCCTCCAAAATTTAATTCATTTACGAAGCAAAACGAAAATAGAGCCTGGAGCTTTCAGGTTACTCTCTTCCACGCCTACAGCGTTTTGTCGCTGTTTGTTTGGTCCAATTTTTTTTCCTTTGGTTTGTCACACTTGTACGCAACTTACTTTGCGAAATGTGTAAATTTTCTGCGACTTTCTCGGTAAAAAATAGCAATTTATGAGGCGCACAAATTATGTTTTCTGGCTTGCGTATTTTTTCCTCCACCGTCACCGGTTTAGGACGTAAGCGACTAAACGTATTTTGGGATGCTAACCCATTCTCGTCCCCAGAGCCCGTCGTTTCTTGGTCACGTGGTCGGTTACAAATTAAGCCGAGTGGCTCTGGGGACGAGAATGGATGCTAACCGCGACTGTCCCTTCGAACTACGCAATTTTGACCCCAAGTTAACAAACCCGAGGTTAGTTTAACTAGTCTTTCGAACAACCGGGTCCAGGGATAAACAGAAATTACCGGAAAGGGGGTGAAAATCCACTCAAGAGAATTGGTATTTTCTTGCTCCTGCCATTGCTCCCGGCCCATCACTGCTCTGTTATATCCTTCCCTTTTTGTATTCTGTTTCTCTTCCTATTCCAATGTTCTGGATGGCAGTTACAGGAAATAAAGTCCAAAGGATAACTTTGATTAGTACTGGGAACTAGTAATAACCAAAGGGAGTGCGGGCGACAACGATCGGCGGTCCAAATGCTTTTGCTGCAACGCTGTGAATGCGTAGTTTTTGAAAGATGGTCAAACCACGCGTGATCAGATTACGGGACACAGAAGGTCGAAAGGCGCGTGATCAAATTACGTTCTGTACTACATTTCATTCATTCCAAACGAATGCTGGCTACATACATGCGACGCATGCGTAGTAACAACCTAGAGACTAAGCTTGCGGGCTCCTCTTGTCGCCTTCAATAAATATTTAATGAGTTTGTCGTTGAAACACTTAACATTAAGATGTCACTTGTTTAAAGCAAACTTTCAGATGGATTTACAAATGCAAATAGAAGTGCTTTTGAGTTGCAAGAAGAAATTAAAATCACGCTAAGGGATTATAAAATGGTTGCCAAAATAGACCAGTGCAGGGTTTGTAATCGTCTTGTAACCTGCTAACAATACTGTATGCTATTTACACCTTTTTACGTTATTTCCCAGGAGCCAAAAAAATGATCCTAATTCCAATTTTGTACAGACCCTGTCAAATTCCTTCGACACTGCGATCCATCACATATCTGGACTACACAACAGAACATGCTAGGAAATACTTCTGGAACAAACTTTTGGCTTCTCTTGGTTACAAGAGTAATTCTACAAGCAAAGGTGATTTATGGCATATTTTTATCAGTTGTGTTTTTAAGTACCCCAGGTATGACTCACAAGAAAATTGTAAAATCTGGAGAAGAACAAGTAGAAGAAGCAAGCAATGGAGTAAATCTATTGCAATCTATTGTTTATCTGAAAAAAATTAACTTCTAAAAACATTTGGACCCATAGGTCATTATGCCTTTTTTACTGGGGAGATTTAATTAATCAATGGACTTTTTGCAATAAATCGTCGCATGCATGGTACAAAATAGGGACGTTTTGAAGAGAGAGAGAGAGACCGTAAAAACACACACGAAATTGAACAGTTTTGTGATGTCATTCTGAAGATAGACGCGGTCCCCGAGAGTCACCGTAGGTTTCTGATTACTCAGTTTCTTGTAATAAAGCTTTGGGTAAGAATACACTTTTAGATAGGAGATAGTCCGTAGCATTTTGAGGTTAAAGTAGACCAGCATTTTGTGCAACGAGTTGTAAGGTCACGATTGACCTCAAACTCGTCGGATATAAAACTAGAGAGAGCTATGAGGCTTATCTTCTGAAGTAAGGGAAAACTCTGTCCTAGGATTTTGAAAGTATGTACATTTTTGTTGAAATGCAGTTTTAAATATATGCCCGATATCTCAAACGTGTTTATGCCTACAGAAAATAAATAACGTTTTCTTAAAGTTCTTCTATTTGTTATTAACGACGCCAAAATCATAACAAACGGATAAATCGTTCCTGCTGAAAAACGCAATTCAAAAACATAAGCAACACGCATATAAGTAAGTTCGGGCCATCTCAAATAAGACCAATTTCTAGAAAAAAAATTTAGTAGTCACAGGTTCCTTAGCAGTACTCATGTCCTCTAATCCGGCTCTCCTTTTTAGCAACTGGGAAATATACAGTTGTTGTGACTGACAAAGGCAAGAAGGCAAGTGTAGGCGACAGGGCGAAGATGACAGTTTACGGTGCACAAAGAAGAGGTAGGAATTTATAGCAAGCAGCGGATGCTCTTTTTCTGTACCGAAGTTTAGAGTTATTCCACAGACCACTCAAGCTCAAATTAAAAGATGAAGAATAGTGAGTCTACTGGCAGGTTTTTTGCTATGTGTTGTGTTACAGAAAGAGAGAAATAATCATGTTTTTAAACGAGACGCAACTGTTAAGGTTTAAACAAGAGAGGATAAAGGGGACAGAGAAGGCATCCCCAATATACACCCTATTCCATAGGTAATTCGTCTCGAGTTATTTTTAGAATCGGGATAAAGTTACCTCGCGCGCTGCGTGGATGTTTCGTGGAGGTTTCGCATGACTAAACGCCGTGCAAAACATGAGTAGTAATGCAGGCTACAATGGGTTCCTAACCAATCAGAGCGCAGCAAAATGTTAGGGAACCAATCAGAATCAAGCATAGAGGTCATGTGACCAAGTTGACGTCACAATGCCCATATATGGTCATAGAAATTCACGTGACCCATGGGGTAAAGAACAGACACACAAATTCTGACCTTGCAAAAAATTCATTTTTTTTAATCAACATCTCGAGGGAGCCTGGTAACAAGCGGGACGTGTGTGACGTCCGAGTGACGTCACGCCCTTTTTACAAATCTAATAGGAGGTCGAGTTCATCCCCAATCCTCTCGTAACCATAGGGAAAACTGGATCGGGTGGTCACGTTGATGACACGCTTGTCAAACACCAACCCATACTGCTTCACGCGCGGAACCACTTGAATTTGTTTCTTTTCTAGATCCCTGTGAAAATGATAGGGGGTGACTAGGTTCAAATTTCGGCGAGAGTCCTGAGGCGAATCTAATTCCGAGAGAATATTGTCTTTCATCGTATGAAAATTGAGAATGGTGGAGCCGCGGACGTTCAGAGTGAAACCGCGTACCTTGCACACCACGTTGCCCTGTCGTGTCGAGTACCCATAATTCTTGGCGCCCCCAGAAACAAACTCGGTGATGACGTCCCCATCCAATTCGTCGGTCATGTCCCCCAGAAAATCACCCGTGGTGATGGAGGGTTGACCGGGACGCCATCGATAGATCACACTATCCGTATCATAGTAAAGGACTTACTGTTGAAGGGTGTCGAGAGACTCGTAGAGCTTCAACCGGGCGTGACAGGTGGTGAAGGCCGCCACAAAGATATTGGTCTTGGTACCTTTGACGGCATTGTCTTGGACACTGGTGTAAACGACCTCCAAGATGTCGTCAGTACAGAGGCGGAGAGTGCTGATATCGAGAGCAGCATTGGAGATGAGTCTGAACAAATGGGCGGGGTCTTGGACAGTGACGGTGGTGGGTTTGTTGATACGCTCGCCAAACTTACCCCAGAAACTGTTCAACATCAGTTTGGCCGTGGCCTTGCGACCGGGATTTTTGGCAATGCTGGCGATGTCCAGTCGGATGCCCTCTCGTTCCTGGTAGCGAAGAATATAGTCTCGTTTCTGCTCGAGAGTCTGACACCAGTTGGGCCACCCCGCGGATTCTTGTTTCAACTTCAACCAAGTGTTGACGTAATTGGCGAAAAGACCCGTTTGGCGTTGCTCGGGGGGAAAATGCCAGACTTCGTGGATCTTGATAAGGGTGTACCCCTTTTCGACGGTTTTGACCAGCTCGGGCGTGCACCAGGTTCCACGTAGCGTGCGATCGGCGTCCGAATGAGGGCAATAGTGCGTTCTAGTCAACATGGGTTGGGCTTGCTCCGCCTGGACACAGGCACGGCAGAGAGGAAAGGTGAGCTTTTGGCCACAACGTACAGGTAAGACGGGGTGGAATAGGCCAGCCGGGGGAAGAATATCTACGGTCGCCAGACCAAAATACGAATCCAGGGACTGGTCGGCAGGTTGGGTGATGATCTTCGGATGGCCGATAGGGTAAGGGCAGTTCTTGTTCACCCAAGGGTACAGGGAGGTCACATCCACATAGCGTATCTCCTCGCCCTCTTCAGCCACGACATGCAGGGCCACCGCGCCGGTGCGACCCCCAAAAAAGGCCTCGCGGGGTTCCAGGGGTGGTGGGAGATCGAACGACTTCAGGAAACATTGGACGGCTTCACTCGTGTCCACCAATTGATCCCATTCACACTCCCACATTTCAATCACCGTGTAGCCTGCTCGGAGCAGGGCCATGCGTTTGGAGAGCGTGGCCTGATACAGTTCTTCGACGCTTCGGTCTGGCACCGCATAATGCTTGACGGAACGGTTGGGATAACAGCGGGGACAGCCATGGTAGAGACACCCATGAAACTCGTAGACAGTGCGGGTCAGAGGATCGTACCCATCGACAAAATAGCTGTTGGCGATGGTTCGGACGGACTGTTCGCCCCCGTTACGGACGTGTCGAATGCGGTCGGCACTGGCCCCCTGCTTGGGAAGGAGGTGTTCTTGGTAGTACAGCCATTGCAGGGCCTTGAGGGATTGATTGACTTGGGCCCCTCGCCAGCCCCCCAGAGGTTCGACGGCAATGGTGTCAGGGGTCAAATGGTGCTTGCGCCAATACAGATTACAGGCACTGGCGATGGTGATACATTTGGCCATGGGATTGAAGCCAGCCTGCCGTTCAAATTCTTGTTGAAAGGCTTCACACCCGGCTTTCAACAGAGCCACATCCGATTTGCAATACTCGATCATTTCTTGACGGAAATCAAAGGGCACATTGCGACGGACTTGATCCGCGTGCCAACGAGTCAGTTCGTCTTTCTTTTTGGCCATCATGCCCTCGGGATCGTAAAATTCCAAATCGGGGATGCGGCCCACGTACTGTTGGTGGTCGGGGGTATTGAACAAATGAGGAAAGAAGCCCTTCTTTAATTCGGTCAAATTGAAGGTGCTGGGAAAAGAGGCGAGTGGCATGGGCAAGAAACACAACGAGTCAATGAATTTGAGGGGTCCGCTCTTGAAGGACAACACTTTAGCGCCCACGGTCAGTTGATCCGCCACCTCGCGTTGTTGCTGGTACAGTTCGTGCAAAATAAACATACCGTCGAAACCTTTCAAATTGTGAAACACCACGAGAATCTCCCGCTCCTCCTCACTGGCCAACACATGAACCAGGTCATCCAAATCACGCAAAAATTGTAGGGCACAGTCCTCCCCGTCCAACACATGAATGGTGGTTTCTTCGCTGGACGAATAACACAACAAATTAGCCACAAACACCCCTTCCGCATTTTGCATGGCTTCAAAATCCGCATAAACAAACAGGGGAGAGGGTGGCGCCACCATGCAACCTCCCCCCTCCTCGGTTGGTTCTGGCTCCTCGTCCTCCACCACGGGTTGAATGTAACACTTGTGGTCCTGGATGGGCACCCATGCCCGACACACGGGGCATTTGGCGTGCCCGCACTGATGACGTTCATTACAAGCCGCAGGCTCGATTTTCGGAGGATTGCGACGTTCAGCGTCGCAATCTTCGTCACAGCGTATGAAAACTGCAATTGGCTAGCAAGTAAAACATGGTCTATTCAGGGTACGAGTTTTTTACCGTTGAAAAAACTCTCTCTTCACCTCTTAAACTTGGGCGTGTCGCCTGTAAGCCAAGAGGGAGAGGAGAGAATAATCCACTGAATTATGCAAACTAACATAGCGCATGAAAACTGCAATTGGCTAGGTAGTAAAACATGATCGATTCAAGCTACGAGTTTTTTACCCTTGAAAAAAGTCTCTCTTAAACCATCTAAAGCAATGTAAAAAAGCTGCATTTACTAGCTAAAACACGATCGATTTTAGCTATGTACTATTCACTTTAAGAAAATCTCCCTTCACCTCTTAAACTTGGGCGTGCTGCCTGGAAGCCAAGAGGGAGAGGAGAGAGTAACCAAACTAACACAGCGTAAGAAAACTGCAATTGGCTAGCTAGTAAAACATGGTCTATTCAGGCTACGAGCTTTTTGCCCTTGAAAAAAATCTCTCTTCACCTCTTAAACTTGGGCGCGCCGCCTGTAAGCTAAGAGGGAGAGGAGAGAAAAATTTACTGAATTATCTAAACTAACACAGCGCATGAAAACTGCTATTGGCTAGCTAGCTAAAACATGACGATTCAATCTACGAGTTTTTTACCTTAAAAAATCTCTCTTCACCTCTTAAACTTGGGCGCGCCGCCTGTAAGCTAAGAGGGAGAGGAGAGAAAAATTTACTGAATTATCTAAACTAACACAGCGCATGAAAACTGCAATTGGCTAGCTAGCTAAAACATGACGATTCAATCTACGAGTTTATTACCTTAAAAAATCTCTCTTCACCTCTTAAACTTGGGCGCGCCGCCTGTAAGCTAGGAGGGAGAGGAGAGAATACCTACTGAATTATCCGAACTAACACTGCGTATAAAAACTGCAATATGCTAGCTAGTAAAACATGATCGACTACAGCTACGAGTGTTTCAATTTAAATAAATCTCTCTTCACCTCTTAAACTTGGGCGTGCCGCCTGGAAGCCTAGAGGGAGAGGAGAGAGTAACCAAACTAACACAGCGTAAGAAAACTGCAATTGGCTAGCTAGTAAAACATGACGATTCAATCTACGAGTTTTTTCCCCTTTAAAAATCTCTCTTCACCCCTTAAACTTGGGCGTGCCGCCTGTTAGCTAAGAGGGAGAGGAGAGAAAAATTTACTGAATTATCCAAACTAACATAGCTCATAAAAACTGCAATTGGCTAGATAGTAAAAGATGATCGATTCAAGCTACGAGTTTTTTACCCTTGAAAAAAATCTCTTTTCACCTCTTAAACTTGGGCGCGCCGCCTGTAAGCTAAGAGGGAGAGGAGAGAATAATCCACTGAATTATGCAAACTAACATAGCGCATGAAAACTGCAATTGGCTAGGTAGTAAAACATGATCGACTAAAGCTACACGTTTTTTACCCTTGAAAAAAGTCTCTCTTCACCTCTTAAACATGGGCGCGCCGCCTGTAAGCTAAGAGGGAGAGGAGAGAATAACCTACTGAATTATCCGAACTAACACAGCGTATAAAAACTGCAATATGCTAGCTAGTAAAACATGATCGACTAAAGCTACGAGTGTTTCAATTTAAATAAATCTCTCTTCACCTCTTAAACTTGGGCGTGCCGCCTGGAAGCCAAGAGGGAGAGGAGAGAGTAACCAAACTAACACAGCGTAAGAAAACTGCAATTGGCTAGCTAGTAAAACATGGTCTATTCAGGCTACGAGCTTTTTGCCCTTCTGAATTATCCGAACTAACACAGGATATGAAAATTGCAATTGGCTAGCTAAAACACGATCGATTTAAGGATCCGAGTTCTTTTTACTTAAAAAATCTCTCTTCACAAAATGCGTTCCTATAATCCATTCCTAGAAATTTGGATCTGTAAATCACTTTCGGTGAAAATCTAACATCGTGCAGAAAATACTAAACGAGCTGGGCCCAGCGTGACATAAATTGAAGGAAACCATCACATTCACGGACAAAAGAATATCGCCTTTAGCTATTCAGATCCAGGAGGCACTTTGGAGAAGACTAAACAACCTAAAACTCTTATTTAGCCGCAAAGGAAGAGATTTACGTTTCAAAAGAGGTCGAAGAAAGTGCTCTTGCATCAGAGGACAAATCATGCCGACCAGAAACAATAACCGCAGAAAATCAATATGCGTGTCATGACCTCTCAGTATGAAACAAGCGGCAAAATTCACATTTACTCATTCAAAGAGTAGAACCCAGAATATAATATACCCACCAGAGAAAACAATTTTTGGAACAAGCAGCATTTTGGCACGAGGTAAAAGTCGTGTGTTGCCTACCAGCCCCCTTTTTACACTCTGTTAGATGGTTCGAGCATTTTGGCGGGATCACGGCTCTTTTGGCGCGTGTTGTAAATGCCCTTTGAATTATAATATTTGTGCGTTATTGTATAGTGATCGAGGATATACACAATACCAAAGGCAAGTAAATATTTTCCTCAGTTTTCCTCAGTGTCGTCAAACCGGCTTCACCGATGTGCTCGAACTCCGCATGCGAGAGCCATAACAAGCTGCTCCTCTACCTTTTAAATAATAAAGGTCTCTCTTACCTTATATCGGCGAACACAGTTTCTGTCCTTCGGACATAATGCGAAATAACATCCAGAACTCTTCACGTTGAACTTTTGAAACCATTTCGGCGACAATATGTAACTTACCAGGTAACGTACCGAATAATTATTACTTTGGAGGGTTCGAATTCGACCTTCATAAAGCGCTAGATTTTGCCTTTCGCTTAAGAAACGAAAAAAATATTTCTTTTTTTTCCAAGACTTGCACCAAGACCCTTTTTTAACACCAACCATGAATTCAAGTATTTTCATTAAGTGATTTTGACGAGAACCATAGCTGAGTTAAAATATCTCGCTCCGATGGTATAAATTCGGCGCGCAGAAGACAAGCTCTGATATTTGACGCAAATTTGTGTCCTGTCCTAAAATGAGTTTATTGACAGATGAACTGACAGAAAGCGATTAATGTGCACACCTGAGGTGCGCAAGGAAATGTGTCAAGACTAACGCCTTGTAGTTACTTGAGTCCAGTTTGTGGGTATCTCCATGGAAATTAAGGATCCCTGGTACGTGCACGAAAATCGACCTTGCGGCTCGTAATGGTTAGGGACGACCGTGTACTGGGCCTGGCACTTGAGACAGATTTTGATGGATTGACATTGCTTGGTGACTTCATGATGACGTTTGCAATACCCACCGTAAAACTGGCAGTGACACAGACTGCAATACTCCGTGGGGCGGGTACCGCGCACACAATCCTGACAATCAAATCGACCGCACGCTTTGCAGCGTCTCCCTTGACAGGTATGATTGGTTCGGTCGTTGGTGTTGAACCCCCGTTCACAGTCCAGGCAATAATAAGAGCGGTTCACAAAAGCAGGAAAAGACGTGCAGCCTTCAAAATGATCATTGGATTTCAGTAAACGAATCTGATGAGGGGCAGTGGGTCCTTTGAAAATCAGAAAAAACGGTTTCATCCGAGTCATCACCAAGAGTTGATATTGAGACCCCAACGCCTGTTGAAATTGGCGAAGTTCTGGCAAACCACAGGGACCCTCAGCCACCCCTGCTTCCTGATGTAATTCTTGGGCTTGTCGTAACTGCACAGGACACCCACGTTTGAGATTCTCCCAGTCGCGAAACCCGTCCACGCCTTGATCTTTATGGCAATGGGCTCGCACGGTGACGATAGCACGGGCACAGCATAAGGCATCTCTGTTTCGGATGGGGATGATGCATTTTTTTTTCTTATTCTCTCGATCCAGGCACAGTCGACCAGGATTGTGTTGTTTACGTCGACCGGACCCTCGACCAGGCATGGAGACAAACACCACATCCACTTGGAAACCGCGATCGGGGTTGAAGGCTTCATTGCTATTCAACTTGCCGGCCAAGGTGGCTAACATCTCATCCAAACGAGCAGTGCGCTGTAAAAATTCCCCCACGGTGAAATTCGCTGTTTGGTAGGCGTGGGTGAATCCATGAGCCGTGATGGCAAAATTCACAAAATGATGAGCGGGTCGCTGCTCGCGGTCCAGTTCCGTTTCAATGGCTTGGTGTAACGTTTCGGTCAAAGCCATGCCAATGTTATCCCCAGGGACAGGATCCCTCAATTGCCGTAATTGCGCATTGAATTGAGCCCGCTCCACCCCTCGCGCCAGCGGCGTCGTCGGCCCATGGGTTGCATGGTGAATTGAAAGAGAGGGCCTCGGGCGGCAGCCCCTCCCAACTGTTCCCACCGGTCATAGGCGCGGTCCAACAGAGCATCTTCCTCGTCGTCACTCAAGAGATACTCCTCCGCCATGACGGCGGAAACCCATTTGAAATTCCCGCGCTAGACGTGGACTTTTATAGACCGAACCACGTGATCCCTCACGAGCTAGGATTGGTGGACAAGGCTCAGGTGAGAGTCAGGTGAGAGTCAGGTGAGGGGGTTGATCGACAGGAGGAAGATCAGGGGTGGTCCCCCCCATGGGTACCAGATTCCCTCCACCCGCACCATTCCTGGACCGAGGACTGTGATTGGTGGAGTTTACCCTAGATAGAGTCCAGCGTCCAGGACAATCGTCAGTTGTGTTCGAGATGCCCAACAAAAATCCCGAGAAGGCGAAACAGCTAAAACACGAGTGGTATATCAAAAACAGAGAGAGACTATTGCAACAGAAGCGTGAACGGCGGGCGGCCAAAAAGAAGCTCAAGCCACCACGTCCACCCAAACCAGCCCCCACCCCCGAACAGAAAGCCAAAGCCCGAGAGGCGAACCGACTGGCCTGCAACCGTTACCGAGCGACCCACGCGGCCCAAGTACGCAGCCTGAATCGGGACTATTACCACCGGAACCGAGAGCGCATTGTGCAGCAGCAGCGGGACCGTCGTGCCAGGGTGCATCAGAACCACCCGTTACGAAAGTTACGGGCGTTAGCAGACGTGTGTGCCGCCCGATTGCTGGAATTGGAGCATGGATACGCCTGGATCGAGCCAACCCAAAACAAAGAGGGACCCCGAGAAAAATAAACGGAACCAAAAACTGTATCGGCAGCGACAATATGCGGCCTTCAACGGGATCGAGGAGGTGAAAGCCCTTCACCGTCGGCGTTACTACGAACGCATGGCGCGAATGAAAGCCAACGGAGAGTACGAGGCCTTCAAGGCCAAAAAGGTCCAGGAGGGCATGCGACGCTACCATGCCATGTCCGAGGAAAAGCGCAATGAGGTGAAACGCAAGAACGCGCAATGTCAAAAGAACTGGATGCAGAAAATGAAGGAGGAGGGACCTACGAGGCCTACAAACATCGGTTGAATGTGCGGCGGCGGGCGTTGCAGGCGGAGAAAAAGCGAGCCTTGGGCGAGGAGGGGTGGAAAGCCTTGCAGAAACAAAAGTATGAGAAGCGTATGGAATCGATTCGGCGTCAACGCTGGGAATGGTTGGACGAGCAATTGGACCGTCCCTTTCCCCTCCCGTGGTTGCCGTTAGATTGGGCTGAGTCNAGAAAGCCAAAGCCCGAGAGGCGAACCGACTGGCCTGCAACCGTTACCGAGCGACCCACGCGGCCCAAGTACGCAGCCTGAATCGGGACTATTACCACCGGAACCGAGAGCGCATTGTGCAGCAGCAGCGGGACCGTCGTGCCAGGGTGCATCAGAACCACCCGTTACGAAAGTTACGGGCGTTAGCAGACGTGTGTGCCGCCCGATTGCTGGAATTGGAGCATGGATACGCCTGGATCGAGCCAACCCAAAACAAAGAGGGACCCCGAGAAAAATAAACGGAACCAAAAACTGTATCGGCAGCGACAATATGCGGCCTTCAACGGGATCGAGGAGGTGAAAGCCCTTCACCGTCGGCGTTACTACGAACGCATGGCGCGAATGAAAGCCAACGGAGAGTACGAGGCCTTCAAGGCCAAAAAGGTCCAGGAGGGCATGCGACGCTACCATGCCATGTCCGAGGAAAAGCGCAATGAGGTGAAACGCAAGAACGCGCAATGTCAAAAGAACTGGATGCAGAAAATGAAGGAGGAGGGACCTACGAGGCCTACAAACATCGGTTGAATGTGCGGCGGCGGGCGTTGCAGGCGGAGAAAAAGCGAGCCTTGGGCGAGGAGGGGTGGAAAGCCTTGCAGAAACAAAAGTATGAGAAGCGTATGGAATCGATTCGGCGTCAACGCTGGGAATGGTTGGACGAGCAATTGGACCGTCCCTTTCCCCTCCCGTGGTTGCCGTTAGATTGGGCTGAGTCCGAGCCTGAGGAGGATACTGTACAAACAATTCGTGCGAACGCGTTACAGCAAATGGACCACTACTTGTAAGAACAATAATGAGTTTATTAAAACAGGTGTCGTTGCAATTCAACCATGTTGTCTTTTTATGACTGTGTTAACATAAGGGTCTTTTTTGTTCACACGCCCAATCGAAGTTTGGTTTTCATGATGCGTCTGACAATGCGCTCCGTCAGGGTTTTCCAATCCACTAGGAACGGTCCTATCCCACCCTTCATCGTACGTCGACGTTGTTGTTGTCGTCGTCGGGTCGTGGTGCGTTTGCGCCTAGGGGCCATCGCGTTTCGACATCGGCCACACATGGTTTTGGGACGGTAGAAGGAAGGACCCTGTTTTTATATCTTTTTTTCACATTCACGGGCGTCGACCCCGTCCACGGGCTCGGCCACGGCCACGGCCACGTCCTCGGCGGGGTGGTGGTGGTGGACTTGGACTGGAGGTTCGGGTGGAGGTGCGGCGCACGGAAGGACGGCCTCCCCCATCTTCGTACACCGTGGTGACTGTATTGGTATGCGTGATATTGCGAATGCGCCTCCCTCGAGCACGTTGTTGCGCATCTTCATTGAGCAAATCCAACCGTCCCCTTAATCCCCGCCGTCGATCGTCCTCGTCCTCATCGCCATCGTCGTCCTCCGACGGAGGAGGGGAAGAATCCGGCGATGGGGGAGAGGGCACGCGGGGACGTCGTCGCGGTTGTTTGGCCGCGATGGTAGGACGTCCTGTAGGGGTCGTCACCGTGGAGGTGGTGGTCCTGGTCCCTGCCCCGGCGCTGCGGCGGGCGGTGGAGGGGCGTGAAGGAGCGGTGGTGGTCGTGGCGGTGGTGACAGGACGTGGTCTGGGTCGTCTGGAGCTGGTGGTCGTGGTGGTAGTGGTGGGGCGTGTTCGGGTGGACGTGGTGGGACGGGTTTGAGTCGCCGTGGTGGTGGGGGCGGTGGTGATGGAAGGGGGTGGCGGTGCCGTGGTGGTGGTGGCCGGGGCGGTGCCTGTGCTTGCCACGGGCGGTAGCGTAAACGCATTCAAGGCATCGTCCACATTGATCGGGTAGGTCAGGTGAAAATCCGCAATCTCTTGATCCAATTGGGCTCGATCGACCGGTCGGGTCAATTCGGTCACCATGTCCGTCATGCTGCTGAGGTCCTGGAAGGGAGGAGGTGCAGTGGGGGAGCCCACCCCGCCGGGCGAGAGGGTCGGGGTCTCCATGCGGACCGATAAGTCAAGTTGTTGTCCGCCTTCTCTTTGTCGCCGTTGACGTTCGCGTTCTCGTTGCAGCGCGTTTTCGAACGGCAGGGACATCCACGGGGAGGGTATGAACTTGCTCCTTGCCTTCTCGGAGCGTTAAATGACTCCACAATCGGTACCGATCGTCCGACGCCGGATGCACATCCAACATCAAATAGCCAAAGGGACGGGACGTGATGCGTTTAAATAGGCGCAAGACTTGACGCCATCGGTCGGGAAAGGCTTAACCCATGGCTTGTAGAAATCGATCGTACCCCAGTAGATCTTCATAGGCTTCTGCTCCAGTCAGTTGCAGGGTTCTGTAAGGGTATTCTTCTCCATTCAAGGTCTGACGTATTTGAGTGACGCCAAACTTTTTAAAGGCAAAGGGGTATCTTTGTAGGTCTCCATTGAAGGTATTGGAATGCAGTAACCCGACCATCACTCTGTCAGGAAATCGACCCACAAACACGTTGTCTTGTTCCCACTGGGTGGTTCGTCCATCGAAGGAAAAGGTGCGGATTTCGCTCCGCACCACTGGGTAGCGGGCAATCTGTTTACCCAGTTGTCTTTCTTTCTGCAGTCTGACATAGACGCTGGCATTCAAGGTCACTTTTCTCATCAGCAACGTGACTTTGGTGTCTTCCTGGTGAATGGCTGGAAATTTTTTGGCGACCAAGGTTCCTTTGTTCGGGGTGCCCATCAAATAGACTGAGTTGGGGTTGAGGAATAGTTCAAAGTCCATCTGGACATTGGGGACCAACAATTTGCCTGTTCTGAGGGGTGGTAAATGGGGGCGGATGATGAAGGTGTGCCAATGCTTCTCTAGCAACCGGCTGGTCAAGGCACGCAATTCTGTATTGCCACTCCAATCAGCGCCAGTGGGCACATCCGAATTGGCTCCTGTGGCTCCCATTTCTGCAATCACATTCAGCTGATTGACCCATCCTTGTGGGGCTAACTTGGTGGCTCCTTCGTCTCGGCTGTAATTCAGGAGGGTTTCTAAGTAGGCTCTGTAATGGTAGGTGTTGCTCTGTTCAGTCATGAGGACCCCATTCATGCTCAGGGTGATATCTCGAAAGATGGGGTGCCCAAAATTGTTGACGCAGTAGGTGTTTCTGGAATTGTTGGCATCGGAGTTGGCCAGATTGGCTTGCAATCCTTCATACCCAGCCGCTGGATCGGTCAGGCGTACTTTGACTTTGAATCGGAGGGAATTGGGATCGTAATAATCGTCGGAGCCCGGAATGGAGAACGTGATGGGCTGGATGCCCGTCAAGGCGGGTTGAAACTCCACCTCCCGAGAGGCTTCGTACCGATAATCCACATCGGGCACGTCAAACAGTTGGAGCGACATGGTGCGGACTGTCCA